CACATTTTATAGCTGTTCACACTATATGAGTGTCTTCTAGATTTTCTTTTTAGTAGGTCATTGAATCTTTTTTACTTTATGGAGCAGTAAGAAATGCATGAAGGAATTTGAATTTAGAGAAGCTGTCTTGCATGCATATCTTGGCATTGGCATTTAAAGTCTATAAAATAAATTGGCAGTGAATGTTTTATTTACCTGTTAGAATAGCAGCTAGCACGTCAAGCAGCATTTTTGCCAGATATATTGGAATACACTTGATAGCACAGAAATGGAAGTGTAAAGCATTTAATCAAAGATATTTGTGGGCATATCACGTGAGGATTTTAATGTCTGATACATAGGACAACCTGCATGTATAATTTAGAAGCAAAAATGATTTGAAAAATAAATTTGGTCCACTCTCATGCCTCATTTTTTTTTTAAATGAGCAAAACAATGCAGTGTTTACTAAGTTATTTTAGGTGCAGAATTGTTTTACTACTTTGCCTGAATTGCCAAGCTTTTTAATAAAGCTGGCAGCATGAGTGACAGCCGCACACCCAAGGTTACACTGTAGCGTCGGGTTCTCTCTGACTTTCTCTCCTTTAAGCCTCCCTTTCATGTGTAGCCAAGTGAAAGTCTCCAAGTGAAACGTAAGCTCTGCAGATCCTCAGGGGCCGTGGCCTGATGAAGAAAAGCAGCAGTTTGGAAAGGCTGTTGAAGTCAYAGAGGGCAGAGGGCCGGGTGTTGACACGACTCAGACCTTTCTAAGGAGATGAATGAGAAGGCATTGCCTCCCTGGGCCCCGGACATATTTTACCCGGAAGAGCAGTACTAGGTTTTCAAACCAATTGTTTTGGCTTTATCCTTCAGATGTTGCAGAAGGAAAATGTGTTCTTTTATTGCTGTTCCAAGTTGTTTAACCATTTACCCTTAATCATCTGCAGTCTGTGTGGGAATAAGACTTCTAAAGATCACTGAACTTTGCTTGATTTGAAATCAGAATAGAATTCGTTTTATTTAATGTGGGAAACCTTCTTTTGAGAAATTTGACACAAGCTGGCTTTTTAGTCTCTTAGAATTTAATTGAAAAAGAACACCATAGAAAAACACTGCCAGATGCACACATGCCTGCTCTTRGGTTAGATTACCATAAGCTTTAGAATTTTGTTCCTATGGTTATTGATCGTTGAARTAACCCTAGCAGTCAACATTTAACAAGTCAGTGTGAATTAATGAATTTTTGGTTGCATCACAGAGATGAAATTCTAGGCTGGTCGTATCGTGTATCTCTTCTCATAATAAGTTTTCTCCTTGTCACTCAATCTGTTAAGAATACATGATGATTGTAGGAGCACTTCATAGATCTGCTTTGTGGAAAAGTTCATAAGTCCATTAGGCCACCGTTCTGTGGAAGTGATCTATAAAGAAATAAATTCCCTCAGTTCCCACATCAGCATATCACAAAAGAACCATACTGTGGGCCKCCTGAAATTTTATAGATCTCTTCAAGGAGCAATTCAGAATGGTTTCTAAGAGCCCTAAATCTGTATCTTGGTGCATGAATCTAGCTGGCATTAATTTGGGCAGAGTGGGCCAAATAGAGCTAATTGAGGTGGGGAAAAAAAATCGAGAGAACAGGCCATAATGGTGAATAGAGTTATTTGTCACCGAGTTTGTAATAGGATTTTCAATTAATTCATGCAGGCTTCCAATGCCTTACATTAGCCCTGTCAAGATGAACTACAGCCACATCTAAAATGCCATCCCCTATTAAACGGTGCATGTCAGTGAATTTGTAATTTCTTCTGTTCAACCAGAAGATGAATGGATTCTACTCAGAAAACAAATGTGTGCTTCAGAAATGCACATTTCAAAATCCCGAACACTTCCTAGGAGGAACATTCTTTGCATTGTTATACAGTGAGTATATGTTAAAAATGTGATGGTTATGTGAATCCATCCAAAAGGAAAAGCATCCAGCTGCAGAGAGACAAATATACTGTCAGGTGCCCCATTTCACTGGTGACCAGGCTTTTCCCACTGGGTGATAATGATGATGATGGTGATGACGAGGACCATAGTTCATGCTTGTAGCCTTTACTGCCTTCTGGGCCATTTGAGGGGGTTATATACATGAATTCACTAAATCCTTACAATAACCAGGTGAAGCAATTGAGGAAAAGAGAGGTTAAGCTGCCCAAGATCCCACAGTCACTGAGATGGTGTTCAAGCAGTGGAGTCCGTGCTCCCAACTAATTAGTTCCCTCTACCATGTGGTCATAGTCTCTTTGGCTACAGACAAGAGTTAATGTAGCTCTCTCATTCTTTGGTCAGTTCTCTATCTCTTCCCCCTTATGGTACTTTGGTGTTATTTTGTTGTTATCTCCTTAAACCTATCTTGGGAAATATTGGTAAGCTGTGGTAACCAGGCTTCAAGAAGTATGTAATAGAGAATGGAATGAAGCATATGTGAGATTAGACAAAAATTAAAATTCTCCCTTCCACAAATGCTAAGTGAAATAATGAGCAAAGTTCGTAGCACTGTGAGGGACCAGCTCCTGAATGGCACCTCCTTGCTGGAGGGACCAAAGGGCGCAGCAGAACTGCTTACAAGATTATGTCAAGGCTGAATGACAGGAGTCATGTCATTAGAGACCAGATCTTAAAGCAGGGTCCAGAAGTCAAGAGGGCATCAGTTACTTCTGAAAGGCTCAGATCTTGTTTTCCTGGGACATTGGCCCCTCAGAACAGCTTTAACTAACCAACCACAGCATCACGTGGACCAAGCCAAGGCAAAACGACTCCCAGGAGTGTTTTGAGAGCAGGAATTACTATTCCTCTGAAGCCATCCAAAAGTATTTAGCAAAAACGTTTGGCTTATGGGTAGTCCAGTCTCTAAATCTCTGAGTGAGAACCAAACAGTAACTGAAAACCATACTGTGAAGCTCTGTTAACATCAAGGATGTTAAACCTTTATCTATGTTTGTTGAAGGAAGGGGGAGTGTGAAGAAGCAATATGAGTAATACATTATTGATGTCCTTTCTTGAAAACATAAAAACTATTTTAAAAAATCAACTGTTTTAGGCTTGTGCATTGCACATAGCTACGTAGCTGTCTGCCCACCTGCCCACTTCACATTTTCTATTCTACTGCCTGGTTTACCGGTCTGCACAGGGTCACACCATGTCCATCTGTGTGCTTCAGACCCATGGGTGACTACATTGTTGGAAGGACACACAGATCCAAAGTCCTTAGTGTGTTATTCCAGACCCTCCATCCATTGGCCTCTGTCTACCTCTCACATTGCTTATGCTCCTTGACTCCCACACAAGAACACTGCGTTCTTTATAAACCCTAGTCCTTCTGCACATCATCTGATTCTCACTGCCCCATCTTTGCTGGAGCTATCTCCTCTGCCTGGAATGTTCTCACTTTTCTTTTTATTCTTCCACTCCAACTTTCTCTCTTTAGCTCCTATTATTCTTTAAGAGTAGGGAAGTGTTTAATTTTCCCAGGGGCTGGGGTCGTGGCTCAGTGGTAGAGCACTTGCCTTGCACATGTGAGGCCCTGGGTTCGATCCTCAGCACCACATTAAAATAAATAGATAAATAAAATAAAGGCTTAAAAATAAATAAATGAATAAAGTAATTTTTTTCATCCCTCAAACCTCAGTGTTTCTGCTCCCACAAACATGCATATCTTTACATTGCATTTAATAAACTGTGTTGTCATTATTTCTAAGGAAAAGAACTGTGCTTTATTTCTCATTAAATTCTCAACACTAATACAGTGCCTGGTAAGAGGTAAAAAGCTTGATAAGATGTTAAATTTAGTGTTTTCTAGATGAGTGAATAAATGATTGAGGACGTGAGAAACAGGAACCTGTAATCTAGCTCATTGAATTATTATAGTCAGTTTGATTTTCCATTTATTCTCTGAATCAATGATTGGCAGCAGTGTTCCAGAGAGGCCAGAGATCTTAAAATGACAACTAATGCTCAAGAATGGGCCCCGCTAATGCCATCGGGAAGTATTGTATTGAACTCATTTAATTCAATTGCCTTGGGGGTACACACCATTCAAAACCTGTCATTCAAAACCATAATTCAGTGCAGCAACATTTAAACCCCCCTGTCTTATCTTATCAGCCTAACAGTGTTCTCTAATGAGAAGAGAGCAAAGTTGACTAATCTTAAGGTACACCAGACCATGTGCCTGAACATGTACCGATTATAAACTATGAGAGGACAGGAACTGTGTCCTACTCACAGTTGCATTCCAGACTCAGGCAGAGACTAAGCCCTAAATAAATACCTATTGAATTCACAAAAGAATAAAATCCCCTGCCCACATTAAAAGCAGCATCAGGAAAAGTTTTGCCCACAGCCCTATCTCTGATTTTTATCAGTCAAGCTTAAGAACAGTTAGTGAATTGATGAATTATACTTCTGATTAAATTTTCTTCTCAGTGCTTATAATTCATTCTGATGATTAAAAAACTTAATATGGACCTTTTATGAGTTTTTGAATTTCATGTTAGAGAATTATACTCAGAAGTCACATTTTCATGTAATAATGATCCCAAACAAACAAGGAAAGGCCCCCACTAAATTAAACTTGAGAATAGAAGACTACATTGTAGCTGGTGCATGGATATCTTCTTATCTTACTATGGATGTTTATTTATTTTGTATTTGCTCTTTATTGATGGGACACATAGTTTTTTGTTGTTGTTGTTTGTTTGTTTGTTTTTAACATAAGATGTTCTTTTCAAAGGGCAAAGTGTGGATTTGACCTTGATTTAAAAATAGTGACAGTAAGGAGATATATACACATTTTTTTTCTGGTTTTTTTTTTTTTGTTTGTTTGTTTTTTTGGTGGTGCTGGGGATTGAACCCAGGGCCTTGTGTCTGCGAGGCAAGCGCTCTACCAACTGAGCCCTATCCCCAGCCCAGTAAAGTTATATTTTGATGAACATTTCTGGAGTGTTCATTGATATTTGTCTTTTTCTTTAAGGGTATACCTCAGTTACCATGTGCCAAAGCATTATATAACTACGAAGGAAAGGAGCCTGGAGACCTTAAATTCAGCAAAGGTGACATCATCATTTTGCGACGACAAGTTGATGAAAACTGGTACCATGGGGAAGTCAACGGAATCCATGGCTTTTTCCCCACCAACTTTGTGCAGATTATTAGACCATTACCTCAGCCCCCACCTCAGTGCAAAGCACTTTATGACTTTGAAGTGAAAGACAAGGAAGCGGACAAAGATTGCCTTCCATTCGCAAAGGTAAAGTTGGGATGAATTTACCAGATATTCTTCTGTGTGTGGAACGTGGCTGGTGTTTTCTCTTGGAAAAAGAGTTTTGTGTGAGCTATCTCACTGTGCTTCTAAAAATACCTAGAAGTAGTCTGCTTTGAATCATAAGAAACGTAATTTTGCACATAAACTTCTTCTATGAAAGATAATTAGGTTGATGCTCTACATGGAATGTTTTTCATATTTAGAACCTAAATTTATTTTAAGCCACTTTAAAGTATGTATGTGCCACTCAGGGATTTTACAATACTGAATCATGAATAATAGATGAGATGACATTATTTCCTTATTTTATATGTCAGTTTATTTGCATAATAGCACCTGCAATATATTTACTGAATTGATAAAATGGTTTGGAATTTTAAGCAAAATATTATGGCTTTGTTTAAAAAAAAAAAAAGCAGTCGGATATGTGTTTGAATGGGCCTTTGGTATGTTATCAGAAAGTGAGAGGCATCTGAGAACCAATTTTTTTTTTTTTTTGTAGCAGGAATTGAACCCATAGGCGCTTTGCCACTGAGTCACATTCTCAGGCCTTTTTTGTATTTTATTTAGAGGCAGGGTCTCTCTGAGTTGCTTAGGGGCTCTCTAAGTTGCTGAGGCTGGCTTTGAACTCACAAGCCTCCTGCCTCAGCCTCCAGAGCCACTGGAATTACAGGCATGCACCACCATGCCAGGCCTCTGAGAATCAATTTAAACAGAAATTCAAGGTGCTCAGGCAGATAGAATTTGAGGTTGCAGCTTATGGAACTAAATAAAATAAGAGGCCAACCCTTTGTGTCAAAGTTTGTGGTTTTACAACTAATAGAACGCCAGGTTGATGGGTGATTATCATTTAATTCATGCAGAGTTTGAATGTGTATAAAGATATGTCACAACATTTTTACTCATCTACTCTTGAAACTTGAGTTCTTTATTGCAAAGGAAAATGGGCTGATAAAGGGATCAGGGAGCCTAATGATTGTTGTTTCTCCAGGATGATGTTCTGACTGTGATCCGCAGAGTGGATGAAAACTGGGCTGAAGGAATGTTGGCAGACAAAATAGGAATATTTCCGATTTCCTACGTTGAGGTAAGTTAACCTGTAGACCCATGAATTGCGGTAGTGTTCAGCTTAGTAAGTAAATCTTAATTACGCAATACGAGCCTTCAGGAGTCCTCATGGCACAAAGCAGCCTCAGAAATGCCTTCTCCTGGATCACTGGAAGAATTAGGAAAACTTCATTCTGTCCTTCAGTTACTGAAGATTGCAGAATGTTTCAAACTCTTTACTTCATCTTCCTGCTCAGAGCATTCCTGTGTCGGTTGAAGGTACTCTACACCTTCTGTCCATCACCTGTACTGTTTCCAGGTGTTCTATTCCATTTGCCAGTTCCAGGATCAGAAAGTTAATGAAGTTCCTGAGTAAGGTGGAAGATGAATGTGTTTGTTTATGTGCTTATCTCTTTCATTATCTGCCACATCATCAGAACAAAATAGTGACTCACAGCCAAGACCTTTAATAAACATTTGTTGTATAAATCTTTCTCTATCATATCCCAGCAACTTCTTAGCTTCCCTCTCCCTTTTTAATTATCATGACTCCAAAAGCTTGTGCCAGGCTTTCTTTTTAAAGAACATGCATAGGGCTGGGGATGTGGCTCAAGCTATAACACACTTGCCTGGCATGTGCGGAGCGCACCACATAAAAGTAAAATAAAGATGTTGTGTCCGCCAAAAACTGAAAAATAAATATTAAAAAAAAAGAACATGCGTAAAGTAACAATAGTTCTGTTATTTTAAAGAAAAGCTGTTATGGTTTGGATATAAGGTTCCCCCAAAAGCTTCCATGTTAATAAAGGAATATTCAGAGAAGAAATTGGATTACAAGAGATGTAACCTAGTTAGTGAAACTAGAATGAACTAACTGGGTGGTAACCATAGGCAGGTGGGGCTTGGCTGGAGAAGGTGGGGTATTGGGGGCAGGCCTTGGGTGTGTTCATCTTCCCTCTGCCCCTTCCTCATTCCCTGTCTGCTTCCTGGCTGCCATGAGGAGAGCAGCTTCCCTCCATCTCTCCCTTCCCCCATGATGTGCTGCCTTGTCTTGGGCCCAGAGCAATGGACTCAGCTCTCTGTGGACTGAGACCTCTGACACCCTGGACCAAGGTAAACACTTCCTTCCCCGATTTGTTCTTGTCACATATTTTGGTCAGAGCCATGGAAAGCTGACTATCACAAGCACAAGTTAAAAATGAGCTAGAAAGTTACAATTTACAGTAGGCTTCCATGACATTGTGTATCATAAACTAAATGCCCGTCAATAATAAACATTTCTTGCTGAAAACAAAATCAAAGGAATTTTCCAAGAATGAAGCAACCACAGCCCCCGACAATCATACAAAGGTGCTTCGGTCAGAGACAGCTTCTGGGGAGAAGTGAGGTCCTTGTAGGGATCTGTGTGCTGGGCCGATGGAGGTTCACTGGAGAGATGGAAAGGGTGCATTTTATAGCAGAAAGAATACCCAGGAAGGAATGATGGCATGTGCAAAAGCCAGAAAGTAAAAGAGAGCATTGCTGGGGGAATTGAAAGTGATTCTGTTGGAAAATTTCAAAGCATGTATCTTCAGTATGTAAGATACAAAAATCATTTGTTTTGTCATCTTTTTATCTGAAGCATTTATTTTGGCATGATTCTGAATATTAAAATGACAAATTATGTCATCATAGCCAGCATTAAATTTCTTCCTTAGACAGGAGATTGCCAGAGTTAAAAAAAAAAAAAATCAGTTTCACTACTGTATATCCAAGGAAGTAATTCAAACCATGTATATGAGTCTTGAATTTTATCCATACCCTTCCTGTTTATTGAAATTGTTTCCTCCTTTGAAAGTAAACAACAGGAAAAAATTCTTAACAATCAATCTTTTTTTGCATGTTATTTATGTATTCTGACTGTGGGTCATGGAAAACTACAAGCATTTCCAAGTATTTGAATAGCTATGCTAAAGAGCATGAGTAAGCGCAAGATTAGTAATAAAAGCCTGTCTTTACTTGTTAGGTATTATCAATATCACATGGGGATACTTGGTTTGTGAGGCATGAAAAGGTGTTGCTATATTTTCATTATAGGGCAGGTGAAGAATTGTGTAGATAGTCAGAAGACACCCCACCCATGGCAAGTCTAGAGTCAACAGGCACTTGAGTCATTAGGATTATTGACTCTGACTTAAATTGGAAAGGTGAGCTTCTGCCCAACTGAAAAGCATTTTCAGTTTTTTGCCCTTTTTCCTTCCAAGTGAGCATTTTCCTTATTTGAATCACATTTTTTTTCTAGTTGAGATGTGGTAAACAACTCATTTATGTCTAGGAGCCGATCAACATTTCTTTGGTGTCAAGTCATCAGATTGACGCTCCTGGTGGGGAGCAAAGCATCTGGGGATTAGTGGCACCAGGGTTAGCCCTCAGGCAATTGAAGTAGCGGCAGATTTCAATCACAGCCTATCAAAATCCACCTATTTCAGTAGTGCGGAATGCCTTCCAGGGCACTATCAGATGCAGAAAAGGAAACTCTTAAGAATCGAAAACCAGGACTGTTTCCTAAATAATGGTCTTTTTCTTACTCTATAAACCTAATCTTATTTGGCCCACTTTAGAGCCCAGATAGTCTCCAAAATAAAAGCAGGCCATGGTACAAAAATTCATTTGTGAGTGGTTTTCTTGTATCTTATGAACAGACATTTAAGGCTCCATCAGGGTGAGGTGCTTCTGCTTTTTCCACATTGCTGCCAAAAGCAGTTAACTCCCAGAGGTTTTTGAGAAGATGGAAAGAGATAGTTTGTTTCAAAAAGGTTCAGCACCACTGTGCATTTTGAAGAGTAGTTTGGAGCGCAGATTTCACCAGATACCAGAGCATGACGATGATCAAATGAGAGAATCACCACCAAATGCATTCCCGAGTTTCCAGAGCCACATCTGACTTTGCACAGGTGTGTGCGCAGAAGCTGAGACTCTTCGAACTACTCCTGGTTGGCATTGGTAATAGAAGTGTCCAAGGGCCTTGCTTTGGGCAGAAACGGAACAGGATGGTCCTGGGGGTAGGATTGTAGAACTGGAGTGGAATCTGTGGGTCAGAGGTTAGATGTGGAGCTGTGTGTGGAATATACGCAGACTGAAAGAAGCTGAGCATTGGAGGTGAGCAGCAGGAGGATTGGGTTGGTGAGAAATGCTGCCTTCCCGTGTTCCATGGTCCTCTCTCTTCTCCCTTGACTCAGGTAGTAACTGTGAGCTCTAATCTCCACCTGCATTGTAGTGATAAGAAGATTGATAGTTTTGTGATTTGCATATGGATCTCCTTATTAAAGTAAAACACAAACCTCTTCAAGGTCTGAAGAGAAGAGTTTGTCTTGGTTTGGATACTGAGTAAAAAATGGCTATATAAGTGGCCCTGAATTCTGTCCCTTAGAGTCCTTGTCTAGCTCCATGAGGAGGGTTCTTCTGCTTTGATCCCATTCACCCTTCGCCTCTGGAGATTCTCTGATCACATCCTTTGTGGACATGGTTTAGATAGTGTGGATTGGCTTCTGTTGAGACTTACTTGTCCTTGACTCGAGCTAGCTGGGAAGTGGTGAGAATTTCCTTGAAAGACACCATGCCAGGATGTGTATACAAAGGGGATATTTGTCAAAGACTTGAGTGCAGTTAAAAAAAAATAATAATAAAAGAAAGAGAAATTAGTAGCCTGCTTCTTTCTTTATTCAAAAATACCAGTTGTCTGTACAATAGAATGGAAGATTTTAACAAGCCTGTTAATTTGGAGCCGACTCATTCAGTTGTAGCAATTATGATTGTTAGCATTCAAAAGGTTTGAATGAAGTGTGCTAAATATGGGATTTTGGACATTTTCCAAACATTGTTGTGTATATATTATAGGTTTATAGTGAACTGTACATTTTTATTAAATTTCTTATTTTATTTGATTTTTTTGTCATTTATTTGAAATATCACTTGGGTTTTTCAATAATAAAAAGTTACCTAGCAACTTGCTTCTTTGCCATAGATAATATGTAAGGTAAGCATTCCTTATGTGCAGATAACGTGTAGGAGTGGCCTAAGAGAGAGCTGTTTTTATTTTTGAGTTACTGTCAGAAATAGGGCTACAATTCCCATCCTTTGTGTCCCACTCCACTCTTCTGACAGGCTTTCTCTAAGGTAATTCTCCTTTTCGCTGCTTTATCTCAAACATGTTCTGGTTGATGGTGGGGGAAATCTTGGACTTTGGAGTGAGATAGCCAGGATTCAAGTCTTGGTCCCCAACACAAAGTATCTGAGTGACTTTGGGCCTGGTCTTCTCATGTTTAAAATAATAAAACATCTTCATAGGGTAAATTAATTTCAGTAGTACTAATGAACAGTGCCTGGTACCCTAAAAGAGCTTTTAAGTGAAGGCTAATTATTACCACCATATTATTATTCCTTCATAGCACGTTTTTCTAGCTATTTCAAATTATTTGTCCATCTGCTTACCAACTGTTCCCCATCCTTCCTTCCACCATTAGAAAGTGAGCTCCAATGGCCAGTACCTTGCCATTGACCTCAATCTCCTGAGGCTCTCACACAGCAACTGCTAATGGTAGATACTCACTAAATATTGCTTGAATGAATGAACAATCTAAGAACTTGTGGGACCACAGTTTCTAAACCAGAGACAATCGAGTTTGTAGATTTTGCCCACTTTAAATTTTTCCAGCTCATATTCCCATCTTTCCCTATCTAGATATGTGTTTTATTGGTTTTTCTCCGGGTTATGTCAGGGAGTTACATTCCTCAGAGTCATTGGGTCTGTGTGACCTTAGATATTTTTCTTTCTTTTTTTCTTTTAAACCAGTCTCAGTGAGTGTTTGGTTATGCCAAGTTTAGAATTTTCCCAGGCCAAAATAATGGTAGCCATACTCTGCGGATTAGATCTGGCAACCCATGCTGTTTGTTTTTTTTGTAATATGTAAAAGACTTACAGGCAGGAGGGCAGGGTTGGGGAGATGTTGGCTAAAGGATACAGACTTTTGGATGGAAGGAATATGTTCCTCTGGCTAAGGA